GGACAGCATGGCCGCCGGGGGACAGCTGTCCGGGCTCGCGGTGCTCGGAGCAGGCCCAGGCCCAAGGAAGCCACCCACCCTGTTTGCAGCCCCAGCTGGCAGCGGGGAGCCCACAGCACCTGGCCGGGCGTTCGGACACGCTTACCTGGCTCGGGGATGTTGCTGATGTTTCAGAGCCGCTAAGCACCCGCAGTCAAAAGATGTGAAGTAAAACCACCTGTGATGCGCTTTCACAAAGCATAGATACTGTGTAATTTTTACTTCGAAATAATAATGCAAATGAAGTTACACGTTTGTGTCATGGAAAGAGCTTTTTGTGCACGTGGGCCTTTTCTCCATTACACAGTTTTTCATCTTCTGAAGAAGTAAGAGCTTGTATTACGTGAAGACATTTCACTGTTGAACAGCGACTGCAGCATTGATCGTTTCAGCTGGTTTATTACCGTAAATATCTGAAATACGTTCTTTAATGGAGGCCAAGCACGAAAACACTGCAATGAAAAAATACACATGGAACCCTGCATTTCCCATTTGTCAAGGAGCTGTAACTGCAATCTGAATTAATAGGGTTCCTCTGAATAGCTGGTGGGCTCTTTCTGATCAGAGAACATAAATACAGAGACAATTATACTCACGTGTGAAAATCTGCTAGCTATACAATATTATGTGTATAGTCAACAAGATGGCTGTTATGAATCCATGACATGTTTCTATAAAAATGCAGTAAAGAAAATTGAATGTGCTGTGGGATATTTTTCTGTGAAAACAAATGCTGCGTGGTCCTTTAAAAAAGCTATTTTTCCTCAAATAAAAAGCATCCATCACTGCACATCCCAGATCTCACAGAGAAGAGGTGTGAATTTGTGGTCATTCACTCTCCATGACATCAGCATCTCTGCGTGATGATGGTTAAAGGTCCGTAATTCTGTAAGACGGCCCAGAAGACAGGCAAAGTGTTGAGGGTTATCCGGGTGGTGAAGTTTGCAGAATTTCTGTAGAATATCCAGCAGAGGTTCTTGAAGCCTTTCCACAGACTCTCTGTCCTTTATGTACTGCCGATCTGGGTATGGTTTTAAAAGAAAAGAAGTAATTAACAAATACATGCTCTGATGCAATGTAAATATTTACACTGATAAACGAATACAAAAATACTCAAATATTTACACTGGTCACTGATGTTTACACCTACCAAGAATATTTATTTTCAAATTAAGAGGGAATAAAAATGCCTAACATATTTTTGGTTTGGAGTTTTCAGGCGAGCGTCCCACTTCTAGCTAGGGAAAATTTGCCACTTTTTCAAAAACTGAAGCCTTTTAACTAGGGAATGTTTTTCTGGGGTTGTACCATCATCTCCTGGTGCAGTTCTGCACCTGAGTAGGTCCTTCCTATGCATTGCAACAACTGAGCAGCACAGCCTGAGTTTTTGGAGATGTAGCACCACTGGGGAATTTGGCCAGTAGAGAGGAGTGTACATGCAGGTCACCAGGGAGAAATCAAACGTCTTCATGCTCAGATGAAATTTCTTTGTTAGAAAATACTTGTTTTCTTATTTTGTTCATAAGTCTATTTTCTTCATATGGAAGTATGTGTTTGGAGAACGAGGATGGGGTGTTTTTTGTCACTAAAATCTTAGTTGTAAAAAAAAATCCTGAGCCACACTGACTCAAAGAGCATAGGAATTGCTTCACCTCCCCATCTTCAGTGAAACCAGATTTGGAAACCTCAGTGTCTGTCCTTTGTCCTGAAGCATCAGGCTTCTCTTGTCCCACTCCTGTGGTAGGTTTGAGGCACTACACAATTCCTCCATATTTTGTAGGCAGAGCTGTTTAGTTTTGTGTTGTCAAAGAACTAGTTTTGACAGCAAAGCCTGTAACCAGGGCTGTGATGCTGTTACGACGGCACTTCTGAAGGGTCAGTCACCATCACTTTATAGTCGAGAGGGCAACTCGCTCCTGTCCTTCTGCTCTTGCCAGCTGGTGTTTTTCATATGCCATTCTCTCTTCTAAGTTACAGGGTTTCCTAATTCCCTTATAAAAAATGTGGCATTCCGCAATGTTCCCTAGTAATGTGCATGTAACCACACCTAGGATTTTCTGAAGGAAAAAGCCTGTTGAGCTAAGCAGTGGAGAGATATCAGTAATTTTTAAAGCAGGTTATTTAGGCACTTTTTACCTTTGTATGCAAAACCAGATGGCGTTGCAGGACATTTGCAGTTTGGATTTGTGTGCTTGTCTTCTGGTTTAACAACTGAATATACCAAATAAGCATGTATGCACACTTACTCTATGTAGAATCTAAGTTTTTATAAGTCTCAGGTCACACCCTTCACGCTTTCTTTCCAAAACCACTAATATTTAATTCTGAGTTAGAAGTTACCTGGAGACAGGATAACTATGGCTGTGAGCAGCGCATATTCTTCCTGTGTCATCTTCAGCTCCCCAATGCTTTTATAAAAATTAAACATGGGAGTTATGAATTCATCTGAAATACCTGTGAGAGAAAAAAAAAAGAAAGTTGTAATTTTTTAAATTATTGAAATAATCTGGTTTACTGCTACAGAGGACTTACCTAGTATTTGAGTGTCTTGGTCAGAGAAACTTACTATCCAAATCAGGCCTGATGCAAGACATTTAGTTAGAAAAGTGCAAACACATCCTTGTGTTCCAGATCAGAGTAGAAGCAGGCAAATGCTGGAAACTTCTTTTTGCATGGTTTCAAAGTCTTTCTTTAAAGCAAGTCCTTTTCCTCTCCAGGATCGTCTGTCTAGCTCTTCAGGACAAGCCTCATACATGTTTTTCTCGCTGTGTGCTGACATTCTAGCTGTCTTCTGTTTCCAGTAGGCACAGTTTGCAAAACAGTCCCCATGTTCCCCATCTTTATGTTAGTTATGTGGAAAGCTCTCAGGGTGTATGGTGTAATTCTAGCCTAACTACTCTAGAGCTAACTGCCTTGGGCAGTTGCTTCAGTTGTTTCCATAAAGAGTCTTAATTGTTCCTTTTATGTAGCCTTAAACTTTATCTAGGTCTACGATTATTTGTAGTCCAAGATCAGGTTGCTTGCAACTACTACTACCTTCCAGCATAAACTAGTGTATTATAAAGTACAGAGCCATAAATAATTAAAATCCATCCCAGTTTAAGGATGGGATCATGTGATTCTCTAGCCATCAGCAAAACGCTTCGGGATTACTGAACAGGGGTATGCTGACTGGGCTTCCTCTAACTGACTTTGTCATCAGGTCACAATGTTCTTACTTAGCCTTAAATTACAGATGTGCTCCATTCTGCTTTTTCATGTAAAAGAGAAGTAGGTCCTGTGACATCACATTTTTTATTTTTAGTCTCTCAAACTGGTGTGTGGGAGTCACTCAGAGCAGCCACTAAACTGTTGACAACAGCTGCTTGCAACTCTGAAGTGGTGGCACCAACGGGGTGTAGAGATCTGAACCGGTGGTTCTGCAGCAAGAAGCCTTTTGGTCTTCCTTGGCTGAAAGGATGGAAACCTCCTCTGTTCCCACAGACGAGGGCCATAGGATTTCTTATTATTTTACTTTTAACTTTGAGCTGTTCTGGAAGAAGACTTTTTAACTTGCTGTGGAAACCAGATGAGATAATGTGGTTTGGGTGTTGTATACAACATGAAGCTGAAGTCTGGGACTGGTGAGGTTTGGAGGGGAAATTAAAAACAAAACTCAGCAGGTGGAACTCAAAGAAAGGAAACACAAAGTCATTTGACTTAACTATGAAACAGTCACATTTTGCTGTGACAGTGAGTACTTCAGTTGGTGGAATTCAGTGGAATGTGTCCCAACAGAGTGAAAGCACGGTCTTGCAGGGTGTGGTTTATTTTGTGGCTGCATGATGTGTTTAAACATGTGACATGAGCAACCTATGTTCACTTCAGATCACAAGCCACAAATCTTGTTTTTGTGACAAGTTCAACACTACTGAGAGGAGTCGAAATCAATTAAGCAGATATATGTGAAGCAGGTCAGCCCGCCCTGTGGCAGTTAGTAACGCAGCTGGAGCTTGTACAGAGCAAACAGGAGTCATAATCTCCAATGATCCGTGAGGTTTATGTCATGAGTCATCAGTGTTTGCTATTTAAAATTTTGAACACTTGTTATTGCTAGCTTTTGGGGAACCTCCTGTCTCTCTACTGGGCGATTTTTAATGCCATAGTTCCTTACAAGATGACATCTGTAAGAAACACGTACATATGACACACCAAAGTCTTACAATTCACATGAGTCTAAAAACAGGAGGAAAAATAAGTCTAGCTGAGCCCTAAAGCAGAGCAAATTAATTCCTTTCGTGGAACTGAGTAGCTCAGCAATGACATGAGAATAGACCAAGACAAACTGGATATTTTTAGAAGCCTCTGTGCAAGGTATAGCACCGCTGGGCACGATCGTCTTGGCAGCAGACAGGAAATGGCAGGAAGCGGGCTGTGACTAAGCCTCCCATCATTTGTTTCTCATGCTCATCATTTGATTCTTTTGGGGTGGGGGGGAGGGGTCAGGTTAGTTTTCAGCTGGATGAATTCATTGTTTTGCCGACCACAAAGCTCCTCAAGTCCTACTGTCAATGTAACAGAAGTGAGATGAAAAAGATGCCGGTGAACAGGGTGTGGAAAAACTAAATCAGGTCCTCGTTGTCCCAGGCATTGTGTAAGCAGACAGCCCTTGCCCCGCAAAGCTTACAGTCTAACATAAAGAAACTAAAGCATGGGTGGGTCAAGCAAAATATGAATATAGATGTGGAAGCAAATGAAATTATGGCAGAGAGATTCTCTGCTCTACTGTACTCCAAACAGAGAAATAAAACGGAAGAGGTGCAAGGGAGTAAAAAGGGATGTTGCAGCAATGCAGCTGATTTACTACTTTTACTAAAAAGAACAGATTTTAATTCTTTAAATACATGTATGTCACAATACAATTATGAATGAAACCATACAAAATTAGCAATTTTGAGACTAGGATAATGGAATTTTTTCTTGGTTGCTAGTTTTGCCCTCATCCCATGGGTGCTGGAGTTTCCCTGTTATTTCATCACCCTGTACGCACATTACACAGCCCGCTGTTCCATCACAAGAGGGGGCTATTTTCTAATGTGATTGAAAACCCTTCAGTTTGGATTTAATAAGATCCACCAGAAAGCACAAAAGCAGGAAACAGATGTTTATACTTTTTTTTTTTTCCTTATCTACTCTACAAGATGTTGTCACTTCAATTCAGGTTATCAGAAAAAGAATTAAAAGCGATTTGGTTCTCATAACTAGAAAGGCTAGAGGAGAAACAAATTATATGACTTTTCAAATATCGTTGTTACAAATCATACCTCAAGTGAAAGTGAAAATAATCAAAGAGGAAAAATTATATTTCTGGCCTCACTGAGAACAGAATAGTTCGCTCCATCCAGCCCTCTTTTTATTTAGCTCAGGCAAGAGCACTGCACAGTACTGTGTCAGAGGCAATCTTCCTGGGCAGTCTTAGTGGGGCATCCTTCTCACCCTTTGTTTCAAAAACGTCTCAAAAACTTGGTTCCATGCAGCATTATGGCAGCAAGAAGATCCCCTTCCTTCGCACTGCATTGTGCAGCATTCTGTATTACACAGATTTCTACCTAACAACCACCAGCTCAACTCTGTCATCTGTGGAAGATGCTGCAATGCATTTAATTGATTTCGCTGTGTTAATGGGTGACTGGCTGTAAACCCCAGGGAAGTCAGCGAGAAATACTGGCTTTACTGAGTATGGCCTCGCGGCAGTAGACTGGAGCAGATTTAAATCCGCAAGCTTTATTCATTCAGCCTCCCTTGCTTCTTGCACAATTTCATTCATACCTGTAGCTTAAGACACAGCATTGTTTTAAGACCTTGCCTTTTTAAGGGTTTTGTTCCTAAGATTTCCCTCTGAAGGTAGGATGACCAGTGCTTTCTTAAGATTTGCAGTTTCAGGTCATAAATAATTATCTGGTTAACATAATCCTGGAATGGATGTTTTTACTGTGGTATCGAGTCTGTTTTGAGACCAGTATTCTCTCTTCTATTTTGGCTGTTCAGTAAAATTAAATAGATTAATCAATTGCAAAAGTAAAGTTTGAGAGTAAGTACTAAATAACAGTAACTAGCACTGTATGATTAATATGGATTAAGAGATCTTTTTTTCTTGATAAACATGGAGGTGCTGGTGAATATTAAATCAAGAGTACATTTGTAGCTGTTTTATGAAAAAAAAAGGTATTAATTACTCACAAAATTACATCTTATCTTTCACAGTGTTTCATCTACCAGAACTGCTTTCCATGCTGCTTATGCGCTCTGCCTTCTACCCTGTTCAAACACATCAGTGGTGCTTTAAACACTGACCAAATTCAGCCTATTGATGCTGAGAGCCAAAAAGGGGAAAATCTAGCCAGCGGAGAAGGTACACCAGAACGTGTGCCTGTGATCTCTCCTCCATCATCACCTTGTGACCTAAATGAGAGATCAGCATGTGCCAAGGAGAACTCAGGTTAGCAAAACCATGTCTTCCCAAGATCAATTAATAGACCACTGTGAAGCCATCATTGCAAGCAAAGATAACTTAGTAAAAAAACCCCAAAACCACAAACCCAACCCAAAACAACCCAAACCTGCAAGGAGGATGCAAATGACACAGCCACATCCCATCCTTTGGCAGTGGCCTGAGTGCCTGCAGCCAGCAGGGAAGTGCAGTCTGGCACGCAGCAGCAGCATCTGCACTGCCTTGAGCTAGTCTTCATAGGTCGAGTCTATTCAAATAAGTTTTTGGCCTGGAGACGCACACTTATGCAGAAGAAAAGAGATTGGGTCCTCTGACATCTGTTTTTGTTTTCATGGGTATAAATTAACTCTGTAGATATGACTTAAACACTTTTACCTATGTTATTTGCAATTCAAGAACCTGGCTAACTCAGTCTGGTAGATTGTGCAGTACCACGTATGAACAGACAAGATCTTTCCTATGCTCTGTAATTAAATTGGTCCTAATCTCTATATGTTTTGGGTAGTGTGCCAGTTTTGGGTCAAGTCACAGGATGGTAAATGATTCTTTCCATGTGGATGCACATGACCATTTGGGGGGTTAGACACCTATGATTTACAGGTATGTTTAGAAACAAGGCCAGGTTGCTCTCTCTTAGATTATTTGGACTCAGCAGTGAAGATAATTTCATTTTGTTTCTCTGCACAAGCCCCAGCACAATGGGGTTTTGAAGCACCACCGTTACTCAGTACTAATAATAAAAGCAGTGGAAGTGATCAGGTATCCATTGTTCCAGTGCCAAATTCTGGCCTTGGTTTCAGGAGTGTCTTGTCCACATCAATGGGAACTTTGTATCCCACATTCGAGGGCAAAAGGTGGACTCTTGCCAATTCTTTGAAATTGTGGCTTTTTCTTTTTTTCTTTGGATCTTACTGTATTTCACCACCTGTAACCCACCCAGGAAGACAACAGTGTATTTCACAATGTCAGGTGTCCTACCACCAGCTGAAAATTTGTGTCCAGATTTTTCCGTTTCTGACCATATCAGATAGAATCTTATTCCTTGATACTGAAATTAGTAGAACTGCTCTGTAGAATAAAATGATGAAATAAAAATCTGTGGGTATTAAGGACACTGAAAGCAGGTGTCCTTAGGAAAACAAGCTATAAATGCTCACTGAGAAAATGTTCAGTATTTCAGCATTGTTTTTAAAAATCTCATACTGCTAGACAATGTGGAGAATTTGCTTTCAAAATAACAGAAAGAAACTAAGCACTAAATTACTAGGATGTCATCCTTTCACAAACTGAATCAGTCACAATGTGGGGTATGCATAGTGAAGCATCAAGTAAGACAAGTAAGCAGCACAAGCTCTCATTAACATTAAAGAAAATGTCTATATTTATCATTAAGTCTTAATATTAGAGTGAGTAGAAGAGGATTTCAGTCTCAGGAGCAGCTAATGAAAGAATTTCTGTAACACTTTATGGAGAAAGACTGTGAGGGCACAATCAGTCACAATGTGGGGTATGCATAGTGAAGCATCAAGTAAGACAAGTAAGCAGCACAAGCTCTCATTAACATTAAAGAAAATGTCTATATTTATCATTAAGTCTTAATATTAGAGTGAGTAGAAGAGGATTTCAGTCTCAGGAGCAGCTAATGAAAGAATTTCTGTAACACTTTAGGGAGAAAGACTGTGAGGGCACAAAGGCAGTCACTGGGATGCACCAGGACTGGAGCAATATGCTCAAACTAAGAAATAAATATACACCTCATCAGCATGAGAATAAAAATGAATACTGCTAATGCTGAAAGGCCATCACCACCAGATCTCTGGCTTCTTTATCAGAAAAAAAGAAAAAGTCCATTTCATACAATCAGACTGGGGAAGGCATAAATATTAATAGATAAGAGCAGCTTCCAAGCAGACACACTGGCAGGTGACAGAAGTCTGGACAGCTTGTGACTTTTAGGCAGGATCCCCACCCCCAGTTCTATGGATACAGACATCAATGCTTTGACAATAGAACTTATGTGACATTCAGACACATTGTCTGCACCTAAAAATGTGTGGACAGAAGGTCTGACTAACAGCAATAATTTACAGCTGATGGCCTGACAATGTGTAGGACCTCACTAGGAGCCATGAATAATCCTGCTTCTTCCACCTTCATTACTTATGAATTTACATTCTAAACTCTCACTTCACTTTAACTGCATTTGCTGCTCTCTATTGTCTTTGAAGTTGGCTGTATTTAGTCTTGTTTTTCAGTGAGGCTTATGTTAAAAAAAAAAAAGAGGTCCCTATCGCCAAATTTATGCGTAATTCTCTTGGGCTTTTTCTTTATTTGTCTTGGGTTTAATCTATTCTGGCCATTTTATCTCTTGGACCAGTCTATAACACGATAATGGCCAGCTGCAGTTTCTTGTAGCACGTGTTCTCACTGGTTGAGGCTCAAAGAGGCTGCTTAATTTCCTACCCTAATATCACAGTTGGTACAAACTATTATTCCACCCAGAGCCCTGGTGTTGAATGCAGGGGTGTGAACTGTATGTTTAATGTTTTTGAAAGCTGTATGTGTAAGCAATGATAACAGAAGAATTTGGATGCCTTTTGTTTAAACTCAGGGGACGTGAAAATAAGCATGATTTAAATCACAAAAATAAGGTGTTTCAGTAATAGTTATTTCCCAACAATTATTCAGTTTGCCTAAACATGTAATTCTGGAATTTATTATAAAACAAGTCGAAATGTGCAGAAAATTTTCACCAATGTGATCTCTTAAAGTCAAAACAAAAAACTCTGTCGGCCTGTGTGGCAACAAATATGAAAACTCAGTGAATATTGAGAAATACACTGGGAAAGCATGAGAAAATGAAACCTACCTAGTAAAAATCTGTACTCCTACAAACCGATCTGCTTGCATTTTTCGTGCAAAGGAAGTGATAATGTTAACTTGCAGGCAGTTACCAGTACTGAAAACATGGGCAGAGGGGCATTTAAAGACCACATTTAAACCTTTCCATGCAAGAGACATCGCCAGGTTGACAAATAAGCTCTGCCATACAGCAACGTAAGTCCAAAATGAGAGAGACTGGGAGTTTTGAGTGACTTCTGAGCCTGTGCATTAGCACTAACAGTGAAATTGCAATGGTAGCAGCAATTGAGTTAACAGTGCTACCAATGCAAAGATTTACAATCTGCTTTTGTTGTTTACTGCAACAGCACCATTAAGTGCAGCCAAGGATAATGTTTTTAAGTAGGCTTGAATTTGCACAGAATGGAGAAATAAAATACATAGAAAAGGGTATTTTGTTCTGATTCTGGTTATTAATGGAAGGAAAGAATGCAGCCAGCATCAAGTAAGCTGGATAATACATTATTCTCCTGTAATACAGAGAGGGAGCAATTCTAGCAGCAGTATTTCCTCTTATTTCCTCAACTTGATCCTGTCTTGAGGGAAAATATTTTTGAGAGCCTTTTTCAAAAGCAATAAGATACATATATGTGTGTATATATATACACACTCCAAAAAAGTTACCAAGTTTCATTTCTTGTGAACTATTAAGTCCAGGTTTTGTTGTATTCCACAACTCCTTTGTAATTTCCTTTGTCGTCTTTTTTCCCCCAGTAAAAAAGAAATGCAAGAAATCTTCATTTGGAATGAATAATACCCCATCTGAAATCATTACTTGTCTATAAACTTTCTTCTACACAAAACGATATTTTTTAAATATATTTGATTACAGGTAAATAATATTACTGTAGGATACAATGTCAGATCCCAGCTAGTCATGTTCTGGTATGAAATGCTATTTTTAAGTCTAGTACTAGTTTGCAAAAAAAAAGATATTGCATCTCGTCTGGACTCAATAGTTGCAGAGAATTAACACGGCATTTTAAAATTCTGAGTAAGGAAAAAATTATTGATATGACATCATAGCTTATGTAATGCTCTGGATCAAAGTATTTCCTGCTTCTGTTTTTATGAATAGCTGACACCTTGAACAAGAAGGTTGATACTGTCTGTGTAGATTAGAAGAGCAAAAGCTTTCACTAATCATGTATTCTTACGGGTTCATTTGTCTAAGACCTCTTTTAAGCAAAAAAATAATTTATATTCTATTAGAAAAATCCCTTAATGAAGACATTTGGATCGATGACAACTCATTAGTTTCCAGGAAATATCTCTGGCCTTCTTGGCATACTTCTCTTGCCTGCAGAACCTGGATGAGAACCATCTTTATCACTCTGAAAGGCACCATTTCCAGTCCACCAGTTGCCTCTTGTAATAAATCAAAATGAGAGAACTATAAAAAATTACAAAATCTCATCCTAGAAATGAGTGTGCTAAGCTACACTAAATACATACCTTCAGCGAGTTGTTTTTCATGTTTCCAAACATTTTTCAGGGTTTCAAATATATGAGTATTGGCCTAGTTATACATCAGTAGTACCTTCATGTTACTGCTCTTAATGAGTTTCAGAACTGAGTTCAAGCCCATTTCTTACACTGACACTGGGTTTAATATAGCATTATTCATAATACTTGCAATAAATAAACCTTTACCTTATGATCTTTGGACTTAGATTCGTTCTAGTTAATATAAAGAACAACATTTAGATAGACCTGTTTCAGTGATAATAAACAACTTAGTAGCTTTTCAAGGGCAAAATATTGACACAGAATTCCAATGGTGTGGTTTGTTTTAACCCCGTTAAACAAGATACTTACCACTATTGCGAATTCTTTCTTCTAGAAGAACAGTATGTCCTGAAGGAAGTTTCCTACTGAAGATCTCAGCTGAACGGAGGAACATGGCTTCTACAGCTGAGCCCTTCAGCAAGGCAATCTGGTCTTCATGGTCAAGTGTTTGGAAGCCTGGGGCGACGTTAGAGATAAGTAAGGCCGCAACAAGATAAATCCCTGCTACTTTCTGTCTGAAGTTCTTGTACGAGGTGCTACACACCTGCGTAACCCTGATGTTAGCAGGGGTGACAAGTGCTGTGAACGCTGAAACCCAGATTCCAGAAGATAACTGAAGTTTATGAGAACTAGACTTTTGTTTCAGCATTCGTGGTACTGTGAGAGGAACATGATAAGCAAAATCTAGTGGCATAGCACAACCAATAATAGAGATTTTATCTAGCCTGATGGTGCAGCCTAACATCTTCTGGCATGTTTCCACCACAGCTCTCTATATGGCTCTCCCTCTGCCATGCTTCTTTCAGCCCTTTCTGTGCTCAGATGGCAAAAATCAGCATTTGAAGCATCTAATTTTAAATATTTCACCTTGCCTTTGGACTAAGGCACTAGTTTACATGCAGGCTTCCTGCTGTGTTTTACATATGCGTTTCTCTGTTTGGAGGGGAAGAACTCTAAATCCACTGAAGAAATCAGGAGGAATTTGGTAACTTGTGTGACTACAGAGTTGCTCCTCTAAAGAATGATGGAGGGACTGAAGATCATGAGAAACCATCCTCATACCTGCCAATGCAGGTACCCACCCCCTGCTTCTGTGAGGAAGCACAGAAAAAGATGAAGTAGGAAATGAAGCAAAAAGGTGATAAATCCTGCCAGATGTACTCTAAATTCAACACTGAAAATAGCAGATTATTCAGTTACAAAGCTCCTCCCATATTCATTTTCTGCAAGCCAGTATCCCGGTTAGCATGAAAAATATAGCTAAAACAGCAGTGCTAGGCTTTGAAGCAAGCCTGTAACACACAGAAGGGGTTAATGTGATGGGAATGCCAGGAAAATAATGTTTTCATACAGCTAAGCATAACAATGCACCTTCTTTAATTACAAGGAACCTGCACCATGCCCAGTGTTCACTCTCGAGGTAACATCAACTTGGGAGTTAAAAAAATAAACTCAGGTTTTCAGTGCTTGTCCATAACATAACATGCAAAGACCATAAATATCAGTGCCTCCAAGCAGGGAAAGTTCTTGATTAGGACTCACAATTCAGTGGATACCATGGCCTAGAGGCTTTGCTAGAAAGGCAGCAAAGAGCGCGAAGCAGAGTCTGGCAAGTCTTGGCGGTAATTTGAAGGCAGACTGTTTGGCACTGCAGTGATAGAGGAAAATAAAATCCCTCTAGAGATGCAACCCTTTCTCTGATTGTTTTGTGTATCAATAGGTGAAGAGTGCCACATCTCAGAGTGGCAGGGTTTGAATTATTCAACGTATTATTCCTCTGAGCACAAGGCTCCTTTTCTTTAGAGAGTGTCTGAAGAATGCTTATGTGTCAGAGGAGGAGGCATTTTTATATAGCGTTCAAAATATACACCACAATTGCCAAGTGGCAACTGAAAGGCATGTACATTTTGTGGTAACAAAATTTGCCCCAACACACTGGATTTACCTGGTAGTTTTTTAGTGAATTCCACAAGAACTTGCACATGACTGGTAGCCATTTCTGTTAAAATCAGAAAATTTCCTTCAGCACTGAATTCCTCATGTAGCTGTCAAAAATCAAAACAAAATCTGTTCATATTCATTGTCACTTCACATTTGAAATTATAAAATGCGAGAATAATTAGATTGTGTCAGGCAATAGGTCCATCTAATCCTGCAATTTGTCTCCACAGTTGTCAAAACCAGGTATTTTTGAAGGCGATGTAAGAAAAGAGGCAGACAGTATCCTTCCCTCTGGAATGTCTGTCTCCCTTTCAATGTCATGTCTAGCAATCAAAGATTTAGGTACTTCCTGAGCTAGAAGTTTTACGAACACTATAATATTGAACCAAAAATCTTCCTGTCCATGAATTTGTCTATTTCCTTTTTGAAGATACTTTTAGGTTTATCTTCCTCAACCTCCTATGGAAATAAGTTCTCTAAGTTAGTTAGGGGTTATTCAGCCCTCCCCCTGCAAGAGTCTTCCTTTTGTTTTTCAAAGTTGATGACTTATGAAATAATTTTCTAAAGTTGTTTTGGGTTTGGGGTTTTTTTTGTGTGTTTTTTTGTTTGTTTGATTGTTTTTGTTAAAGTTTGAATATGACAATTTTGTAAAAATATCTCTCTCTCTCTTAGGCCTTTTTTTCTCTTCTCCCAGTTTCTCAACCATTTTCCATCCTACCACGAATACTGGTGGAAAGTATTTTTAAAGGGAAAATGGAATTTCTAGAAGGTGAAGAGGAAAAGAAAAGGAGAGAAAAGGAGAGAAAAGAAAAGAAGAGAAAAGAAAAGGAGAGAAAAGAAAAGAAGAGAAAAGAAAAGAAAAGAAAGAAAAGAAGAAGAGAAGAGAAGAGAAGAGAAGAGAAGAGAAGAGAAGAGAAGAGAAGAGAAGAGAAGAGAAGAGAAGAGAAGAGAAGAGAAGAGAAGAGAAGAGAAGAGAAGAGAAGAGAAGAGAAGAGAAGAGAAGAGAAGAGAAGAGAAGAGAAAAGAAAAATCCAAACCTGCAAAATGTTGGGAATTTGGGTTCAAAAACAAAGAAATATTTTCAAGCTTCTAGGCCGGTACCTTTATAGAAAGGAAGCTTGGCTGCAAGTCAAACTCAAATCACTGCTTCTACTCACCATGCAAAAACCGAAGCTCCAATCAGCAAAGGTTAGATGTGAGCATAAAGTTTATTTTCAGAGTTGAAAGCATTTTCTTAACATTAGGTTTTGATAAACATAGATGCGGTCTAGCTGAATGGGTGAGATTCTGCCCCCCTTGCAGCATGTTTTAAATGTAAACTTTTACCCATTGCTCTACTACTTACTACACCTACTTATGCTGAGTACAAATATTTTCTGCCATGTAATTCTCAGCTTCATTATCCACATCTCAAAAATGAAATAATCAACATACTTACTAGTTTTTTTGACACCTCCTGTGGTATTTGTTGTTTACTGTATGAATCCATGATGTAATCAAGAAGGTTCTGCTGTTCTGGGGAAAATTCTACTTTCTCCTATACTGGCAAAAAAAAAAAAAAAAAGCCCATCATGAAATGCAGTCATAGATATGATCTAGTATCTCTTGCTTTAGGCAAAAGCTATGCATCTATTTCTCACACTTGGAGACCAAGCAGACAAGAGGTTTGCTTGTCACTGAGATTTCTATAGAAGCGTACAGAAGTGTATCATGCTTCTGAACTACATGACTTTGTGTGGTTTATTATTAGAAATAAGGAAATGTTTAGCGAATAACTAGGTATGCTCAAAATTTAATATCGCATCCCACCATTTTTGCTGTACACCTGACATACATACCACAGAAAAAATAATTTATGGATTTTGTGGATTCTTTCCTGAGTTTTGACTAGAAATACCAGAAACACTTCTATACTCAAGGTCTTTCCTTGACTTAGTGGGAAATGGATTTTTAATTAATACAGACAGCTCCAGAGAGTTTACAAGTGCTCTATATCCAGTGCACTAGCCACATTTGATTGAAACATCACCACTACTGTATGAACTATTACAAGAATTTTCTTACCCTGTATATTTTAGTTGTAGATGTGACTTGTTTCATGTCATGGCCTTCGTTATCTTCGTTGACTGTCTGATCTGGGGGCTGTTTCACATTTTTCCGTAGCCTTTTTGACTTGCATTGTATTTCTGTTAACAGACCTAGGATGTGTAATACAACAGATAACAATCAGATTTATATATGCCTCAGGCACTGAATAGGTACATAAACATACCCCTGAATTCTCTTTACACTAACAAACCTAGTTACCTGTGCAGATCATTTCCTGAACACGCCATTATGTTTTGAGATGTGAGTCTAATGAGACATACTAAGTACACACTAATGAGCAGTCCAGCCTAGTAGGGGCCCACCTGAGCAAAACAGTTGGTGCTGGTGACCCAGCATCCACACGGTGGGCATGTCAAGGTTCTTGTCTTGGACCAGCTCTAATCTGGTCATTTGGATAGAAAACCCCTAAGTTATGGGGCTGTGCTTGAGTGTGTCTTTGGTTTAGTCTCCTCTTTCATCCCATTTTGCCTTTTTTTTTGTTCTGGACTACATTTCAGTACCTTGAACCAGAGAGTATCCTTGTGTGGATGTCATAAAAACTGGCAATTTGCTTGTGCTAACAAAAGAAAGGGACAATAGGTACCATACACAACCTGTGGAAGACAGCCAGAAAGCACAAATGAAAAAGCAAACAGCTAAGTATTCATCCAAAAATAAAGCTATCAGCACAGAACTCTTTCTTTCTTTCTTTTTTAGCTTCTTTCAATTGTCCTTCCCATTCTTCACCTTTGAAAATGCAGAGCAGGGAAAGGGGCTCATTCAGAGAGTATATGATGGTGGAGGAAGATACCATGAAAACAGTGAATTTCGTTGTGAATGTTTTTAATTTCCTGTGTAAGCACTATATAAAATAACCTACCTGAACCGCAGAGAGGAGAGGAAATTTACATGATTAAAATAAGACCTGAAAATAATACCTTGAAGGGGAGGAATAGGAATGATAGAGATAATAATTGGTATGGAGCCATGTAATTTGTGCTGCCGTACAGCATCACAGATTTCTTTTTCTAAATTATTCAGTGCATCCTTTGGTGGTGTTAATGGGACTGTACAGTTTTGCACCAGCTTCGGATCTGGCCTACCACCTTCTTAGGGAAAAATTGGTTTCCTTTTGCCTTAAGCACTAAGACTAGATTTTCTCATGCTTCCTGCTACTAAGTAGTACCTTGATATCTTATCTGGGCTCCATTTCAGTTAGCTAGAAAACTCACATGAGATACAGAACTTTACTTTTTACTTCAGAGATAGTTAGGTTTAAATGGGTATCAAAAGAATATTAAGTTTAAGGAAGAGTAGGAGAACCTGAGTCTGTCACGTAGAAATTTCAGTAGACAGTTCACCCCAAAAACTTGCAGTTTATATCAAAACCACAGCAAATGATTGACATTGATGATTAGTAATTTTGAACTGTCTGTGGTTCAGGTATAAAGGGCAGGAGTACGATTATTGAGTAGCCATGTCATAAATGCTTATAAGACTTTACCTCTTTGTTCAGAGTGAAAAAAAGATTCACAGAGCTTGCAATTATAATCCTACAAAATGAGTAAGTGAAACAAAGTTCAAGGTAACCTTTTATTTCCTAGTGGTTTTTTTTTTCTTTTTTAAATAAATGTTCTCTACTACTAGAAGCTTTGTGTTTTACTGTCCTGGATTGCCTCTAACTAAAAGCAATTATACAGCACATTCCTACTTAAAAGCCATTAAATAGCACCTTGCCAAACACGGCAGTGCATTAGAGCATGCTCATGGTTAAGTCATGAGCAACACAAGATACCCAGTGTTTCCATTGCAGAGAGAGAGTCGGATGGCACTGGCACTTGCTGGCTTTTATTTCACATATGCCAGTTTGTGAAAACGATAGGCCAGTTTAAAAGATTCATGTGGGCCCTGTCAGTATTATTTACACTGACCTATTTTTTTTCAGTAATGGGTTGTTTTTTTGTGATACTTAGTCACTTGGGCTATTTTGAACCCTCAGAATTTTGGAACAATGGATCTGGGATCAGCACCACAGGGGAGTTATTTTCCCCTGACACTCAGGGACACACTGAGTGCTGTCATCACAGTGGTGGTGTCTGCTCGTGTATTTACATACTGCACCAGAATATGTCATATCTCAGGATCTTTGTAGCCTGTTCAATTTGCAGAATGAAAGATTAATTACATTATGCTGGCAATGCATTCCAAATATTGATGGAGCTTATTGTTTCTCACAAAAGCAACAGTTAATATAGCATCTTCTGATCAGATCAAGGGATAGAAGCATATTAAAAATTCCAAGTAGATTAATTTCCTGTATGAACCTAAATTGGTTTCACACATACGTGTATGCTAAAATGATTGAAGCTATCAAGAAAAATAAACTGTAGCCCTATTCATGGAAGGCAGAAAAGCAGATGTTTACAGACTTGTTTTCAGGAGCAAGCTTGCAAAAATAATGGATTGCCCAACATTTTACTCAAAATGGAGTTTTAAACATGTTTAAAGGTGCGCTGCAATATCTCTGTTGTTCAAAGTTATCCAAGATGAAGCTCAATAACGTTTATAAGATGTTGGTCTGAATAGAATATTCACATTAATATGTAACATTATTAAAGTCTATTAAGTTCATTTCTGGACATTCTTTGACCTGTGTGCCTGTATGCAAGGCAGGAAAATCTATAATGCCATGCGAAAAGCTAATGAGACTATAAAAAGGGGCTAGCCCTCAGCAGGCTTTGCCTCATTGCTGGGTGAGGTCTGGGAATGTAGGCTTGGCAAATCCACAGAAACTTCCTGCTAGAAGCAGTCCTCCCCTTTTCTTGAAAATGGCATTGTTTGAATGCCAAAATTTGGATTTGGCTAGCAAGACCTTAACAGGGAGAGGCCCAGAAAGAGTAGCAATGGGAAGCACCAGGACTTTTCCTGCTCTGGCTTCCACAACACTGCAAACTCCTCACTCCTGGGGAGTCTCCTATTGATTCTCTTCCCCTGACTGCTTTTCCTTCCTACTCAAACAGGCTACTGGCTGTCATCTAGTGCACAACAGCCCTTCCTTCACTGTTTGCTCAGCTCTTAAATGCAGGTGTCCCTGACCACCAATTAAATCCCGTTGCTTTTAAGTGCATTTGCCTTTTTTGACAGGATTTGACACACAAGCATGGCATCATCTTTAACGCACCTTCCACCTGGCAGGTGTCATTTTTAATAGCTTTATTATTAAACCCAACCCAGTTAAAGAAATACAGTATTTGATGTGTTGTCTGCACACTCTGACTGTATGATGCAAATACCTGTATACATACATTCAGCCAACATGCCCATTTGCTTGCATTTCCTTAGGCGGCACTCTTGGCATTTTCTCCTCATGTACATGTCCATCTCACAGTTGCCTCCATTTTTACACTTGTATACTGCATTTTTTGTGATGCTTCTTCTGAAGAACCCTGCACAACATAACAGTGACACAGATGAAAGAAAACCACTCAAAGCAGCAAAGTACCCAAGTTGAAGAGCACCTCCATCTCTATTGGATTTCCTGAATTTCGCATGTTCTACTGCACTGCGAGTTTCTTTCTGTGCCTGGATGCCTATATTTTTGATATTTGTACTGAGAATACTATAGTAGAAAGTAGTATAATTTAATAAATCAATATGATAAATCACATACCCAAACAGTAGGCATTAGTTCAAAGTGAGGTCCTGGAACTGTGAATGTCAGGAAAATTGAGACCCAAATCTGAACCCTGCCAGGAGCTGGTTGAGCACCAGCACTAGAGCAGTAGGGTGATACCGTACAAAGAGTCAGTGAAAAAAGTATGAGTCTGTTAAGTTTCTTGAGGTAAAGGAATTGCAGAAGGAGTTGAGTAATTCATCACAGTCCCCTCAGCTCCTGAGAGCTGTAGAAGCTCCACGTATTGGTTTGCTTGCCCACCACCAAGTTTAGTAAGGAAGCTGCCTCGTATCTGCTTATTCTACATGTGGCCTCCTCCCTTGATGTAGGATACTCCAGTCTCAATCACTAGATATTGTCTACCTGAGGAGTTAAGCAGTCACCAAATTCCACCTACACAGGCAGTTCTCCTGGTGTCATCACTGGATTTGCTCCAAAATTGAACAGTTGTAAGTGCAAATTAAAACTGATCCAAGAAATCAAGAGGACCTTACCTCAGTCTGTCTGAATCTTCTACTGGGCCACTGCCGATCACAGCTCTGAGAGTGGCACCATGGGAAAAATGTGGAGTACTCAAGATATTAAATGTAATTGATTAATAGTCATGACAAAACAATAGTCTTTGCTGCCAATCATTATTTGAATGTTTCCTGAATTTTTAGTGTGACTCACTGTGCCATCACAATCTCTTTACATTGTCCTTCATATGGCAGAGATTATTTAGCATCAATGACAGAGGGAATTAACTCTCTCCAGCATAAGAGAGCAGCTCAGTTCTCCTTCTCATCTGAGGACAGTTTTCTGAAATAAACTCCTGGGAGCTTCTGCTGGCACACCACTGATTTATGCTGTACTTCAAACTAGCGCTCTGTGTAAATTTACATTAACCAGAGCTACTCGCAAACCATTTGCTTTCTCATTGCCACTGGCTGGCACAACCATTTTCCAACCTGGCACTTTGATGCACTGAGCGAGGCACCAGGTAAGACCCTGTCTCCCATACTGAAATCACAGGGAAAATTCAGATGTGAATCTGAATTGCTGTCCCATTGCAGGATTTGTCTGTGTGTTTTCAGAATGCATTGAGCTAAGATACCATCCTGCAGGATCTAGGCAAGAAAACAGATGAGGTGATGATTTTGCCATTGTCAGATGACAATTTCCCAACTTTGGCCCATGTTTTTAGAATTGCATAATCTCTTCCAAGCACCAGTGTGTAGCAACCAGTAAAACAACCCCCCTATCTGGTCACAAAAAAATCTGGCATTCCTCTGAATCTACTGTATTTCCTGCTTGAAATCTCTTCCAGTCTGTTTTACTGGCTTCTTTTCAGATAAATACACTTGACTGGCATCAGACTCTTTTGAAATGCAGATTGCTTAGAACCTCCGGCAGCCCCAGGCATTGTTTTTTATTCATCATTCACGTGATGTTTAATACATTACCATTTACTGGTCAGGGAAGGGAGAAAAAGGCCTGGATTTACGCTGTAGATTCTCAGTGTTAAAGGCAACTGCATAATTTATAAATTTTATTTGTTAAATTTAAATCCTGTAATTCATGACACATTAATTAGTAGCAAATGTTGAAAAACACTGCACAAATACTTATGACATACTAAGTCTGATTGATAACTTTATCGGTCTGTCCACAAGGTGCGTGTTTGCTTTTTCATGGAAGAGCAAAGAAAAAGACCTTTAGTAAACAAGTGTTTTAGAAGTAGGCAAGAATGTGAAAGATGAATGCAAAACTAGGGATGTAAAAAGATAGGAGTCAATAGGATTCAAGCAGTCAAATATTTTCTCTTGAAAAAAAAAGGTTTTGAAAAAGTGAATGATGTGAAATGAAAAGTGAGATATCTTTCAGCAAAAATTAGTTTTAACCTTACTCTCACTTCAGTTTTATCATGAAGTGACTCAAATCATTGTCTTCTTGAACAGACCTTTTCATAATTAATTTTGATATTAGGTTTTTGGTATGAATGGAATTTATATGTTATTCAGTAATAATTCAAAATGAACTTAAACTGCCTGAAATGTTTTATGTTTGACCTTCTATACCAGGAGGAGTTTTAAAAAAAATCAGCAGTAAATCAGAAATGGCATCTGTTAGAATAATGAAGGGGCAGCCCCAAAAGCTGAAGGTTTTTCTGGCACATTCTAACTTTTATCTGATCTTGCCAGATTGCAAAAGCTCATGTTGGCTGGAAATATTGAATTTGCATTGTTCTCTTAGCTAGTCATGAAAATGATTAATTATAGCTAGAGCTGCTCCTGTATTACCAATGATTTTGCTTACAGAATTTATGGAAGTTGAAGGAGGAGAGCTGTTAAAAGTGTCTACACTAAATACCTCTGTTTGTCATTCTGATGGCAAACTGCTTAGGTTTTTTCATTTTAAAAGTTATTGAAGTTCACAATTGCTAAACAAGTACCTGCTTCATTTAATCAGACCGTCAAGACACGCTACAGCGTTCCTTCCCCCCATGTCCGCATGTTAGTGCGAGGAGAAGATTGAAGCAGGACGCTTCTTTGCAGGAAGTGTTCTCAGTCTACCATGAGAGACATCAAGCTTTATCAGGAGTGGTTTGTAGGTTGTAAAAACTCATACCACCAGCCTGTGCAGAGGGAATTCACAACTAGCTTTTCTCTCAACAGAACTTATTCCGTGGCTTTATTGAACAAGCACCATAGAACATCGAATCTTTTAGCTTGGAAAAGATCATTAGGATCATCAAGTCCATCTGTTAACCTACCATTGCCAAATCCACCTCTAAACCATGTCCCTAAATATTATGTTCCACTTGTTCTGCAACACCTTAAAATAGCCCGTAAAACCCAGTATCCCTGTACAGACTAAGGCTGTAAAAAAATTCTTTGATGTCTTTCTGCAAAGGCTGTCTCAGAAATTACCTCTATAGCAGCAGGTTTTAAAGTACTCTATATTGGTCACTGTGCTGTAACAATGCTGTAAACTGCCTCATCCCTTATGAACCACAACTGTGATGCCATCGTTAATCAAGGCGGCATTTGCTATGGTAATATATTAGAGGTGAGCAAAACCTCAAGGAAACCTTTTCTTTTTTCTTAAAGTACCACAGGCAAAAGTTGTGTGAGAGCAAATGTTCTGTTTAATCGCCTTTTTCAAAATATGTAAAATATTAATGAAACAGTTCATACTTATTTGTTAAAGGATGGTAATGTATTAACGAATATGTATAGTAGTGTATATTCCTGCCCATATTTTTAGATTAATATTCTCATGAGGGACAATAGATAAGGTCTTAATATGGTTCCTACTGCCCAAGGGAAAAAAAAAATTTGAAAAGAATGGCGGGTGTTGCTGAATTCATTATCTAAGAAAGAAATTAAAACAAAACAAAACAAAAAAACACCCCATATTAATCACAGAGGATTGAAACTGATAAAAATATGTGGAAAACCTCCCCCTTTGAATAAGAATGTCCATGGCACTGATGGAGCAGAGGTGCTGCAAGGTGAGCACCAGTCCTGCAGAAAGGGATCTATGTATAATTTTGGACACACATTGAGCGTGAATTAACATTCTTGTCACCAAAAAGAAGGGCTAATCTAGTACTTGGATGTGAGACACATGAGATATAGACTGATGAGAACACAACTGAAGTACTGAGCCCAGTTCTGGTCACCCAGCTTTGAGGGTAATGTATACTCATATGAAAAATTCCACAGAAACACAAGAATGATCAGAGGTCTAGAAAACATAATACCCTCTTGTTGTCAGACAGAATTACTGTCCTCAGCACAACTTTTTACTGAATCAGCTGGTACTTTAATCACCTCTAAAGTTTATTGTAGAAACAGAATGCATTATCTTTAAATTATTCAACTTTTACTATGTTTGATCAAGGGTACTGTTCTTTATAAGTGATGTTGCAGTCATGAAACAGAGTGAAAACATAAAATAAATTATCCCAATAAAGCAGTAAAATTATAGTTACATAGAGTGATTCAAACTGAATCAGTAGAGATTAATAGCTATTTCCTTTCACCATGTGTTTTAGTCTGAGTATTCACCTGGTGGTTTTAACCTCTCTCCTAGAAATATTCTTTAAAAATTCCATAGCTTGTAATTTTAAGTCTTTGAAAAACTACTGAGGCATTTAATAATCAAGTTAATAAACCATAGGAATATCTTAGTAACAGATCAAATGTATCATTACTTGAAATCTTCACATTAAACTTGAGTTTAATCTGGTTTGTAGTGACATCATTCATAGGACTTAATTCATATTTTTTGACTTTGAGACTATTCACATGTACAGCCGAAAGGAACAAATCTCATATTTACTGGAATTATTGAGGTACTGTATATGCTCCTTGGCTGTATTCATGTTTGGAAAGGCTGACCAGTGTGGTCTCTTGTGCCCTCAGAAATTAATTTGTAATAAATAAACTAAAACCTCAAAATTAGCTCAAAGTCCACTATCAGTGACAGTGAGTTCCACATTAAAATATTTCTGTTCTTCAGTAATGTCCATACTTTAACCATTATTTGTAGAACAAAAATTATAATGGAATATTGATTCACAGAATAGAATGAAAAACTAGGGCATTATTTTTCCTTCTATAATGTACTTCATCCTTGTCACACAGTAACCATCTTTAGGTATAATAGTTATTCCATCAGCATAAGTTTTTTGTCCCTCTCTGCTAAAATACCTGGCAATCACGTTTCCACTATCCCATTTATCCTGACACAAACTTGTCAATACTGTTGTAAGAAGGAAGATATTTATCCTACAGATACCATCTGTTTCCTGAAGAAGCTCCCTCCCTAGGGATAGGGGGTATCCCTAGAAGAAAGTCTAGAATTAGAAATCCTTTCATTTCACAAAAATGAAAACACCCACCATATCCTTGGGAAGCTGAGGAAAAGAGATTCCCTGGGAGCAGTCTGGAGGTGGCAGCTGACAACATCCACTATGGGAGGCATTTGGGATGGGTTCACAGCTGTTTTCTAGGGCAGCCTAGCACTGAATTCCCAGGGGCCTCCATTGTTTTTTTTCACAGGCAGAGATTGGCATAAACAGCCCCCAAGACAGCAGAGCCAGGCTGCCAAGCCCCCACACAGAAGCTGTTCTTCAGTTTACCAAAAGTTAATGATGACTCAAGAGCCCTAGGTTGGCCAACTGTGCTCTATAATCACAGGACAGTGGTGGAAGATGCTGCCAACCTGTCTTGGGGAAAAGAGAATAGTGTACTCCAGATCCAAACATAAACCTCTAAAATTATTAGTGAATCAGATAAAATTAACAAGAAATTTAAAAAAATAATTCAGAAACTTCGGTGCTGATTAGCCAAATTGTATTCTGTAGCTGAGTTCATCCTACCTTTGCATCCTTCGCAAGTAAGAGCATTGTAGTGGTACCCAGAGGCTTTGTCACCGCAGACCACACAGAGCTCTTCTCCTTTCACTCTTCCTGTGGAGTGACCCAGTCTAGGCTTTTTGGCTGCAGGAATATCCATTATCTCTGTCTCCCTTGTGAAAAAGGTTTCTGAGGGTATTCTCCTGAGCTCATACATCCCAGGGGAATACCATTCCTCATGCTGCGGAGGGTAGAAGCCTAGGTTGGAGTAATAAGGTGGCGATGAAATCTGAGGCTGGACTTGGGGAAACGGCACATTGTTGTACTGTGTGTAAGGTGACACATCTGCCTCCTGCACTGGAGAACTCATTGGCTCTGGAAGTACACCTGGAAAATAATAATGCAAACCCAGTTTCTCTTACTACCATGAAACTACAGTTACCAGAGAAGTTTCCCCTTCCAGACACCCATCTCAAAAAAAAGTAAGGCATAATCACAAAGATTGCATTGTCTGAGCTCAGATTTGTTGTGGTCCTGGTCCTATGCAAAAAAATTGCAAGATATTTTAAAAACAACCTCCCATTCTCAGTCACTCCTTTATTATTATTACTGTAAAAGTCCTGCACTGCCACTTACATTAAAACATGTTGAAAGATACTGTGCAGCTAATCATACAAACGTCCAGTTTACAAGAAAGAGCAATCCCCAACACAGAGAAGCTAGTAACCCGAATTAGGTCTCAGAGCATAATAAAAGAAATCCAAGCAAAAGCCAAAAATCGTGTGATGTTGATAAAAGTTAGATCAAGACTCATGCATCATGTTAACTTCTATTTAATGCTGAATGACAGGGGAAAAGTGCACTGGGGAGAGATGACAAGGGTGAGGCTTAATTAGAAGACCAAGAGCATGAAATGACCCTTTTAGAAGAGCCTGAAAGGGGAAAGTGAGGTTACCATGAAGGAGCAGGGAAGCTACTCCTAATATAAATAATGAAATGCAACCTTCTGGCCATCCGGCCTCCACTGGCCACCCAGCCCGCCTCTGCAGCCTGGTCCCCAGCCCCTACAAGCCTGTGCTGCTCAATGCAGTTGTGCGGTTCTCATAGGCAGCACCTCTGAGCCAACAGCAAACCCGGCAGTAGCACAAGGAATAGAGCACCCTTTCCTGTTGGGACCATCACAGGAGGCTGCCTTAACTTTGCTCAATTAATACCAGGTTTAAAAAAGTAACTGAAGTCTCT